TTGGCCATTGTTACTAAAGTGATTGTCCACTGCAAGCATCTACCCAATATACAGAAGGTACCTACTTGCTTTACCTGAGCAACTGGGATGACCGTCAAACCTTGGGTAACCTTGATGAGAATATATTCTTACACTCTTATCAAGAAAGTTACCAATAAAATTGAGATAAGATTAATAGACAAAAACCTATTCAAAGTAAGGGGGCATGGTGGCCCAGCATTAAGACACTAGGCTTGACAGCTGGAAAGCTGACAGCCCAGGTTCGAGACAAGAGCACCATGTGTCAGGCTGAGCTCCTGTCCTCGCCCCAGCTCTTCCCAACGAAGCACTTTGAAAACATGCAAATCCGAGATACATAGGACCTACTTTGGTGGGAAGGCAACAGCACACTGTGACATCACGCTGGTCACATGACCGTCAAAATGTCTTTGGACAATGTTGGCTCAATGGCCTTAAAACAGAGATGAGCAGTTCTCCCTTAGTTGGCAATGATTAGTGGAGTAAAATCTGAAGGGTCCCCTTTACCTTTTATTCAAAATAAACAGATATTTCCTGATTATATTTCAATTAGTCTTGAGCTTTTAGACCTCTTCCTGCTCCTCACAATGCTGCCAAATACATGCCTATGCCTCTTAGTAGACTAAGCCAAAATAGTTGAATAGCTCCATTTTTCTTTACTACCTGTTTGCATTTTCCTATCTTCATTGAGAAGTTTGTATATTTGAAAAAAGCACACAATTTCAGTTATTAGCTGTCCTGTATAAATTCCAAATCCCTTACTAAAAATTTAAAATTACAAAATTAAGCTTACTTCTTTTAATTCAATTTCCCTTTTTTTCATTTTTTCCAGTTCCTGCATGAGTTTATCAACATTCTTTGCCACCTCCTTATTCAGACATTGAAACTCCATGACTTGTCCTTCCAACTTTTCTATTTCTTCATTACGAGCTGCAAGGAGTTTCTCTATTTGCTCTTTTTCTGTAAAAAGCCTGTTATAATCATCCACTCTCTCTTTTATTTCATTGTGGAGAGATTCTACCTATAAAGACAAATACAATAGGAACACAAACAGTAAGAAAATAATCACCATATTCCTAATATTTTTACTTTGATTCATCTAATGTTTCATATCAAAAGCTGCTCCTTGGTAGTACTAAAAACCTGAAGGCCCATATGCTTCTGTTCTAAGTGTTTTGCTCCAAGGCAACTGGAGGCTCTGAAAGATCCCAAGAGATTACAAGGAAGAAAAAAGATAAGTCCCACTGCACGTGTGGTAGTCTACACTATATTTCATCCTGTAATGTAGACAATTTATATATTCAACATATTTAATTTTAATGATACAGCCATAAAAATGCTAAGATACATATAGGTCTCAGGTAGGCCTGCCTTGTATCAAAAATGAATAGGGAAGAGGCTTAGATAAAACAGTTGTCAACATTAAGAATGTTGATCCTAATAAATGATTGGATTTCTTTTGAACTTTGTCTCGAGGCTCGTAAATTCATTAGGTCGTCTTCTGGGAACTTCACAACAGTATGCCTAATTATAATTAATTAGACTATGCATCTTTAGCTGTTTAATGTTTAATGGCTAGTGGTACTATTGATATATCTAAAAAGTTGATTCTAGAGTTCTATTATGTACTATATCTCATTGCATTGAAAAGTCAGAAATTACTGCTTTTTGTTTCTTTTTAAAAATTTTCTCACTTCCTCCCTAGATAGAGGAGATAATCCTCTATCCCCTTTCTCCATTGTCTTTATTTCTATTTCTATTTTATATTAAGAGAAAACTTTTAATAAAATAAAATTAAAAAAGATTATGATTCAGAAATGCTAGATGTTATGACTACAACATTGCAAGCTGCTATTATGTGATTGCCATTTGTGATATTCCCTGCTGGTTTCCCAGAACAAAGTCAATGGAGAAGCTGAAGGGAATATCACAAGTTGTTCCTGCTACCTCCAACCTTCCCCGAGGACCTCATTATGGAGTATGAGATCATGGAGATCAAAAAAGGTAGCAGGAGCAACTTATGAGCTACCTGTTAGCTCTGGATCATAATCTTTTAAAAAAAATTAATTTATTTTGATCTCCTACTCCAGCAAAGGCGAACCTTTTTTGGCTCGTGTGCCATACTCCATAATGAGGTCCTCGGGGAAGGTTGGAGGTAGCAGGAACAACTTGTGATATTCCCTTCAGCTTCTCCATTGACTTTGTTCTGGGAAACCAGCAGGGAATATCACAAGTTGTTCCTGCTACCTCCAACCTTCCCCGAGGACCTCATTATGGAGTATGAGATCATGGAGATCAAAAAAGGTAGCAGGAGCAACTTATGAGCTACCTGTTAGCTCTGGATCATAATCTTTTAAAAAAAATTAATTTATTTTGATCTCCTACTCCAGCAAAGGCGAACCTTTTTTGGCTCGTGTGCCATAAGCAAGGGGAGTGCAGGGGGGGGGGTCGTGTGTTGGGGTGCTGCACCCATAATGCAATGCGTGAACCCCCCAGCATGCATGCGTGCATGACAGGCACTCCCCTCCGGGGGTTCAGGAGCTTCCCTGAAGCCTCCGGAGGGCAAAGAACCATGCCCTATGGGTAAACCGGAAGTTCAGGAACTGACCAGTTTGCTCGTAGGACCGGTTTAAGCCCTCCGGAGCCTTCAGGGGCCTTCCGGAGCTTCCCTGAAGCCTCCGGAGGGCAAAGAACCATGCCCTACAGGTAAACCGGAAGTTCAGGAACTGACCGGTTTGCTCGTAGGACCAGTTTAAGCCCTCCGGAGCCTTCAGGGGCCTTTCGGAGGCTTCCCTGAAAGCTCCGGAGGATGAAAAATGACCCAACAACTGACCAAAAGTTCCATTGAAATTAATTTAATTTTTGTATTTGTTGAATTATCCTGCAGCAAGTTGTCCCATTCTGTACTGAAACTGCCAAAAGATGCAGTCATATGAAGTTTTGCTTGAGAATTGCATAGCTTAGTGATGGAAATTCTGGTCCCAACTAGGGTCATTGAATGAGGATTACCTGTAAGGATTTCATTGCAGAAACCTTTAAATGCTCCATAATAATGAGGAACGTGAATCAAGTTGACTGGTTAATTTATAGCTGATTCTGATCTTGATAAAGCCTATATACTCTAGACTGCCAAATTTCATAAAATTATTCCAGAAAAAGCTTGGGAGACTATGGCATTAGAACACTACTTTTGATTTCTATTCCTGGGTCTGTCAGTAAGCAGTCATCAGACTTCATTTATTCATTGCTGATTAGAAGCAAAGAAAATTGGAGGAAATGGGTGAGCCTATAAAGTTTCACTTTCTTCCCTAGTGCCTCAAATTCATTTCCTTTGATTTGGGAAAATCTACTGAAATTGTGGCTTGAAAGGTTTCAATTCTACCATTCTGTAGCTTGAATTTACTTTTTCTCTGTTAAATTTTTAAAAATCTTTTGGCGCCAATGGTACATCAACAAAATGGTGTAAAACAAAACATTCATACTGAACTCATTGGAACACCATATCATATTGTAATGGAGCATAGTTTTCCTATTTCGCCTGCATGTAATCACAGCAGATCATATTCAATTTCTAACATTCATTCTTCTTCATTTTGATATATTCTCTTAATTCTTGCGTCAAGCACAAGTTAGCACTAAAAATAGTTTTGATATGCAATGATTTTACTCACCAGATCGGTTCTGGACTTTCCAGAAGCTTGAGATTTTGTTGTAAGTTTTAATTCCATTTCTAGTTTCCAAATTTCTTCTTGAAACTCATCACGTTCATGTTCCCTTTCAATAGCTTGCTTCTGTTAAGAAAATGAAAGTCAGTTTTACAGATATGAGTCTATTTTAGATTTCAAATCAAATAAAAATCATTTAATTACTAATTTTAACATTTATTTTTTCATAGATTATCATAATTTTATACTCTAAGAGAAACCTTTACGCCAGAATGCTAGCAAAAAAATAATAATCCAAATTTTTATACATGTTTTTCTTACATCCATGAAATCTCTCTGATTTTTCAGCTGTCTTTCAAGAGCTTCCATTTGTTGTCTTAGGTCAATAACTTCAGATGCCATTGCAGCTAGATTTTGATTTTTCTTTAACTGGTCTTCAAGTTCAATCTCCAAGATTTTCATCTGTGTATTCAAGTTTGAACAATCTTTGTCTGCTTGACATTGCAATTCCAAATTTGTTTTTGCTAGACGATCTATCTCTTTGATTAATTCTAATACATAAAGAAAAAACAGCCGTACCAAGAACACAACATTTTTCAAAATTCATATATATTTTTAATTAGTTATGCACCATAAATTAATCTTTTTTAAAATACACTAGAATTATGACTCAGATTGGCATGTAACTTGTCTTGGCAAGGTCCAGAATTGACTGCATGTAATACAGGAAATAGTAATCTATCAGTTACTTTTTTCTTTGTAAAATATTCTGTAATAAAGCTGTACAAAGAGGATTTTGGGAAGTTAAAGTGGAGGTGATAGCCACCTAACTCTGTTTCCTATTATCATTGCTAGTTAGCTCACAAGGGGCAAAAGTGGGTTAATCAGAAGAAAACTTCACCGAGAGGAGGGGCTGATGCCGTGACAAGANCCACAGAACAAGTAGGGAAAATTTTTGGATTTCACCACTGGATATACAGGAATACTTTTCACCATGGATCTTTTTCAGGGTATTTGTACTTAAAAAAGCTGGATATATGATATCATTAAGAAACTGCAAGCTACATAGTTAGCAGTGACAAAGAGCTGATAACAGTAAATCCTAATTTCACTATCACCTTTTAAATGCTTGGGTATTCATAGTTGTGGATTATTCATTCTACTACTATATCACACAGTTGTTATTTTTATCCTTGCTGCTTGACAGGCATGAGATTAATTTCCACCTAACTCAATTTTATTTGTTAGACTATTCACTCAACTTATCCATGTACCTTTTTATTTTTTGACAATAAAGTAAAATGCTATCCATTCATCATACCATCAAGACAGCACTATGTTGAAGATCTGAGAGATCAGAAAAATGGTATGATGATTTTACTTGGGCTAAATCAGATTCTGCATCTTTCACTACTGTAGTCTCTGCTTCCTACCAGTGTATTTATATTAGAAGAAACACTAATATACTGTAATCTCCAAGTGCCTCTTTCCCAACCCATCTTTAAAAATGGCATATTGGTCAACTATATCATATAGTTAAAGATGTAAAGAAGTTTTTTTTTATTTCTAAGTTTCATATAATTCTGGAATAGAATATTCATAATCAGGACATCTCTCCTAATAAGTTCTGCATTATATCATGGTGTTTATACAAAAGTTATATTAAATATTATATATTAACATGTATTGTAATTTCCCTACAAATTATCTTAAAATTCTGAAATGATTTTGAAATTATTATTATATTGTGTTACATTACTAACGTTTAATATTAAATGTTTCAAAGTTGGTCTTATTGTTGATAAATGTTATCTTTAATATTCTATCATACATACCTGCCCATCCCCCAATTCCCCTTCAGGGTAAGCAGTATTAGGCAAAGTGCCAAAAAAAGGTAACAATTAATAAGCACAATAAATTAAATGGATGTAACAACAAAAACACTTTTTACTAGATCTAGTTGACGCCAACACCATTCATAACTCTCTCTATATGTTTCTGTTCTTGAACAATCCTCTCTTCTAGCACATCCATAAATCGTTTCTTTTTTTCTCCTTTAAATTTCCTGTCCTTGACTGTCATTAATGCTATCCAGGTACAAGTTTTTTGGTTTTCTTGACATCTTCCTCATTCTTCCTTTATATATGCTATTCATTGTTCTGCAATTTGATCTTCATTCATTTTTCTATATGATCAAATTACTTCGATTTAGTACTACTATACTGATTATTAATTCATTCTATCATTCATTCTTGACGTTGTCTACTTTCGCCATATTTTAAGTAATTCACTTCAACTTACGGTAAGTAGTTGTATGCAATATAAATTTCCCCAGGTTTAGTACACATTTTAGCAAAATATAATTTACTTGTTCTTTTTTCCTTTCATTTATGACTTGAAATTATTCATTCCATTTTTTTGTCAGTATAAATAACTTGTTTATTTGATATATTAATTCTCAGACCCATACAATCTAACAAGCTAATATCAACGGCAAATCATTTGGATTCTTGGCAAACAAGACTACATCATCTCCATACAAAATATGCATACATGTTCATAGTTTGTTTACTTTATATAAAATCCAAAATGTACTCCAGAATGTTTCAAGTGTTCAAACCTTTCATTCCTGTAACTGTCAATATCAGATCTCAACATGGCTACAAGAATATTTTCTTCCTGATTCTCTCTCTCTTGTGGATATAGGTTAGGGAGAGCTTGTGAAAGGCACCATGAGAATAGGGAGGATGTACAATGGTATGTGAGAGGTACTGTGCAGATTGGGAATGACATATAAGTGTCGGCATGGTGTGAATGGGGAGGGCCTGGGTGCAGCGGGTGCACAAGATGGGGCAAACTTACCCCAATGACTTGCAATCTTCCCTGTCATTGACTTTCTGGGGAAGCTATTATTAGAAGTAATAGAAAAAATTACAAACCTGCTTTGTGCTTCTTTATGTTTAGCCTTATATTCTTCTTCTAAAACTTGTTTGGCTTTTTTTAATTCTTCGGCCATGAGGGTCTTTGTGGAAGATAATTCACTGTTACATTGAGCCAAAGTCTTCTGTGTATTCACTAAACTGTCTTCTAACTGCTGGATAGTATTCTGTTGCTCCTTTAGAGTTTTCTGTAATTCTACAATTAGAGCAGCCTGCTGTTCTTGAAGACAAGTCATTTCTGCTTTTTGAAAGTCAAACTGTCTTTGCCATGTTTGCTTCTCATATTCTGCCTTGTTCTGAAGCTCTTTACGAAGTAATAATAATTGTTCTTCAGCTTCTGCTACCAATATCTCCTTTTCATGTCTCCATTCTTCAGCTTCTGCTTTATGAGTCTGTTCCACTTCCTGGAGCAATTTTCTAGTTTTTAATTCAGCTGTATCATCTTCAATTAGTTTATGCTTAATCTATTAAATATTACAAAAAATCAATTTGTTGTCTATGTCCAGATTGTCATCATTTCTCTCCTTTCCCTCCTCCCGTTACCTACCATCCTGATACCACAATCCATCCTATCTCCTTCATCAATTGTTCCCTCAAGTCCTGGGAACCATTTAACATAATCATCTCCACAACAAACAATCACAGCCAACTATCAGTGAATAGCATCTCCCCAATCTGCTCCCGCTGTAGCACATTCAGCAGCTGGAGGAAACACCAAGTGGTTGCAAAGGCTACACCCCACATTCCTTTTACCATTTGCTAAGGGCTGGAGCTACTTGCTTAATCTCCCAGTACACAGAGCCAGTTCAAGATTTTAGGATTGCAACAAAGAATGCCGAAGGCAGTCCCACAGGAGATCCAGCAGGCAAATGTCATATTAGCATTTTTATTAAATCTTCATAGGGCAGAAATTGCTTTCTCCACTTTTTATTTCACCTTCCTTTGCATACAACTCAACTTACAGCTGTAATTGAGTCTGCCAATTATGGTGGTAAGTCATTATGGTCATAGCCATGTCATCATGTGATCAGACCAGATTTTATCATTTTTGCAGTGATAGTCAAGCATATGACACGGTTGTAAAACAAACCCACTGTTCACTATGGGGTGGGTTTCCCCCCAGAAACTGGAAGTAAACACCGGTTTCTGGGAAAATATCATAAATTGTGGTCATGTTACCATGGAGTCCAAAAATAGTTGTAAATGCTGGCCAGTTGCCAAGCACTTAAAATGTAGTCATGTGACCCAGGTGTGGCTAGATATCGTAACTTTGGAACTGAATCATAAGTAGTTTGGGGGGGGGGTTTCCAGTGTAAGTTTAAACAATCGCTAAGCAACCAGTCATAAGTCAAGGACTACATATATTCCGACTCTTCTTTCTTGTCCTGATAAAAACATATTTATTTACTGACCTTGTCATTGACTTTTAGAAAAATGTCTGCTACAGTCAGTTTGCTTTTTTCTATACTACCAATAACAATCTGAATATTTATAAGCTAGGTTAATGGTAATAACTTTGAGCTAGTTCCATCTTTAATAAAGCCATCTTTTAAATTTGAAATTAAATTACAGTATTTTTACTTATTTTTGTTTACCCTTGATTGCATAGTAAACACACACCTTATTGGTATTTTTAAAAAATGGCATAGATTACTATTTTTCAATAATAAAGATAACTTAAATGCTTAAACAAATTATTTTCTAAAAGCAGTATTTTTGCATTGCTCAGTATATACCTGTTCTAATTCTTCTTTCACATTCTTTTCTTGTACTATGCCGATTTCTTTTAATTCAGAATTTTTTTTCTTCAGTTCTTCTATTTCTTCTTGTTGACTAGAAATGGATTGCTTCTCAAGCTGAAGGGCATTCTTGTATTCATTCTCTAATAACAAGAGTCGCTGTGCCACTTCTGTTTCTATCTGACGTCTAGCATCTTGAGTACTTTGTTGACGAATTTTAGAAATCTCTGAAAATGATGAAATGTTTTAAAGCAAAGAAAAGAGGGTTTAATAGACCAACAGTCCTCAATCTTTCTGGCTCTACGGACTGGTAGAAGTGATGGGGGTGGTGGGGAGGTTGGGATTGGAGACAATGGCTTCATGGGTGAAACTTAATTCTGAGCATGCACAAATAAAGCTTTACGTGCTCACCCACAGACTGGTTCCCAAAGGCCTGGGGGCCCCTCTGATAAGACTGTAATTGATACTTTGTCTTGTGAATTCTGAGAAACTATGTTGTCACTTCTATTATGATGCAGTTAAAATTATTCATAAATCTAATTCTCTGATAAGAGACAATTGTCAAGCCACATGAAGTAGCTGGAGAATATTGGTTCTGTCCCAATGAAAGCCAATCTAGAAAAGTTACTCCTGCAAGTTAAAGTGTCAGTAGAGAAGATATATGTATCTAAAAGTATGTTGAAATTCTAGAGATGGGATTAACAGAGATCTTATTATTTAAGGAATAAATCAGGAATATCGTCCCTTCATTAGTTTTATAAATAACTCAAGGCAGTGAACATACTTAATACTCTTTTCTTCTACTATTTCCTCCACAACAACAACCGTGTGAGGGGAGTTGGACTGAGAGTGAATAACTGGCCCAAGGTAATTCAGTTGGCTACTAAGAATTGCAGTAAATTTTATAAAAGGTTTCAAACAATATTGCTCTAAACAATATAACCAGGTAATTCAACCATTTAGTTGCAGATTTATCAAATTACACATGATAAAATATTTCAATATAACTTTCAATGTATTTATGTAACTGCATTAAATATAAGGTTTACCAATCTTTGTAGATACTGTTAGATTTTAAGATATTTTTACAAAATTACTGTGTTATATAGCAGTTTTAGTTTACAAGATTTACAACAGCAACAAAAAAAATGTGACATTTAGAGACTGAGTATATTATGATACATATTTCTCTATATATTAGGATATGGTTAGGGTTAGGATAGCAGAGGATGGGGAACAACTATTCTCTGCCAGTTCTGTACTTAAGCCATTAATTGTATCCTTAAATCATTAGTGTTTGATCTTTTTAATTCTTAAGAGGTTTTCTTTTCTTTTAAGCAAGCAATAGCAATAGCAGTAGACTTATATACCGCTTCATAGGGCTTTCAGCCCTCTCTAAGCGGTTTACAGAGAGTCAGCATATTGCCCCCAACAATCTGNAATTTTCCTCCTCTATAGTTAGATATGCTTTCTTTCTTCATGTAATTGTGACCAGGTCCATGACCCATTACTGGGAAGTTTAGCTTGCTTACCTTTTGCTTTATGAAGCTCTAACACAAGTTGATTCTGAGCTTTACTCTCTTCATCAAAAAAGCCCATTAATCCATGCTGTTCATTAAGCATTTGGCATGCTTCCCAATTCTTATTCTTGCATTCCTCTTTAATATTACTATGGATATTGTGCATTTCCTCCAGCTTCGAAACAAAGAGATTTAAAAGACAATGAAAGTACGCACTCTGAGAGGCAACATGAAGTCTTAGATTGTACCTAATCCCCAAATCCCTTTTACAGCTGTCACCTGACATCATTATCAAAATCTGGTAGCAAATGACTAAATAGTAACACAATTCCTAGTGCTTATTGGTGGGAAATATATCTAGAAAGTTGATTTCTTCCTGCCCCTCCCAAGAATCCAATGAAAGAAAGGATAAGAAATCCTAGCTCTGTCAGTAACATAAACACATCAGCATTCTGTAACTATTTTAAATTTAAGTACGGTACCTTCAAAGGAAAGATATTAAATTTTAGTGACGTTTCATCTATACTCATGGTAAAAACAACATACTTTTCTTGCACAAAAACAATTTCTAGGTAGGAAAATTTATATATACCAGGGGTTTCAAACTGCAGGTTGTGATCCTTGGGAGACTGAGAATCAGGTGTGTATGTCACCATTAAAATAATGCTTTAGGCATGGTGTCATATTTGGACTTTTGAGTATTGTAAGACAAGAATATAAGTATCCACCTGCTTCCTTTTTGAAGCAGAAAAAGGGTTTCTAGGGTTTTATGAACCATCACCAAGATTAAATTCTATGTTATATTATAGAATGTTATTTGAAAGGAACATTTACACTTACATGTTTTTATTATACAAAATGTTTAATTTATCTGTTAAATTATCATTATATCTATAATGCCAGTAGTTTTGAAAATGTTAAACTACTAAATATAAAGCTATTAATATATTTAGTGGACTGAAGTTTTAATACAATTGAAATGGACTATTTCAATTTCTTAAGGAGCATAAGTGATATTTAATCATATGGCAAAGCATTATTCAATAATGATTGAGATGTTGACCAATGATAGTTGGGTTTCATGTATCTCAGAATTCTCAATTGATGTGCCATGCAATAAATGTACTCTTTAGAATGTCTATAAAAGTATTAGTAATGTTGGGTATTTTTACTTGCTATGTTTTATATAGCTACATTGATCTCTCACTGTTTTATTTAATCATATTGCTGAGCATGTAGTTATTTGCTTCACTTAAGACCATTCATTCAGCGACTGTTCAAAATTACAACAATGCTGAACAATAGGACATGCAATCTGTATTCAAATTTACGAATGCTGCAGTGTATCCACGGTCACATTATGACAATTTGGATACTTGGCAATCCACCTGCCATTCTGGCCAACCATAAGGACACTGCAACTGCCCCCACTCATCTATCGTCACGCCACCTCTGTTTTGACAGATCCCAGAGGCCCTGGGTCTCCTCCCCATTCAGTTATGTCTTACTCCACTTTGGAAAATCACACCCTTTTGAGATCCTGAGAATGGTGCCCACTTCCCAAATGCCATCCACTTCTGGGATGGCTCTAAGTGGCTCTGTAGGAAGGCCACATTGGCTGGATGCTGTTTCAAGAAAGGTGATCTTTAGAAGAGGTAAGCAGAACAAGGCGTCATGGAATAGGAAAAAAGCTCAAGGCCTGTGGGTCCCAGTGCGATGAGAAGCTGTGCAAGGGTGCCTAAGGAGTGGGGGAGGGAGCCCTGGGGAGGCCTTGCACATGCCGCATATGAGCTGGGAGAGATGCTGCAGTGTGGGCCTATGCCTATACTGGGTCTCCCAGAAACTCACTCCTATTCTGAGGCACCTGTAGTCTGCTTAACAACCCCAATAGAGAGAGCAGGGATTGTGGTCTTGAAGCAGGAGAATCATGCTGGTGCCTGTTAATAACCAGAATAATTTATCACTGTAATTTCAGGCTCAATTGTGGCCACAAAGACGAGGACTATCTTTATTTAAAGTGTTATACTGAAGACTGTTTTGAGATGCAATAACATCTGAACTATACATAACAAAAGCATATCAGTTCAAGATCTCCAGTTCCTTCCCTCTGTGGGTATAAAAGAATAGGTCTTCAGCACTACCTGGCTTCCCATACTATTAATATATAATATTTAATTACTGTTTAATTAAATAAAAGTATTTTACTTGTTTGGTTGATTCAGCAAGCATATCAAGAAGTTTCTCCACAGTAATATATAAACAACGACCAATTTTTTTAATCCTCTCTTCATTTTCAAATATAAGTTCTGGATTTTCAAAAATACTTTCACATAAATGCTCACTCAATTCCAAAGAATCAAAGCTGTGTTCCTGTAGTGTTTGATCAGAAACTTCACCTGTTCAATAAATTGATTTTTAAAATGTAAGTTTAAAAAACATAGAAAAACAACATTTTATTATATTTTGCTAATATAATTTTATAAGCCAAGTTACAATTCAACTGAATTAAAATTATTACAAAATTGTCAACGTGTAGAAAATAATTCAGCATCTATAATAGAATTAGTTTTTAAAAGAGTATCTTCACCCGTAATTTTCCTGCATTTAAAATATTCAAGAGACTCTGTTCTGACTGTTCTACGCTACTTGTTATTCTTAGTATTTTTATATCTACTATTTAAAACTATCTGCAGATGTTTTTAATTTTTACTGGTGTTGACTGGATTTTATTGATTTTAGCATATTCTTCTTTGTACATTTATTATATTGCTTGGTAGCTTTTTTATCCCCACAGTGCTTCTTTCTGTACATTCCAAATGTAAACCTTTTGACAGTTATGCCCCCACAGGAGGATCCCATATAAGTTATAGATACTTCTCATTCTCAATCATGAAGACCTTCACAATAATGCCTTAAAATCTGGTTTAGAGAATTTAAATAAATTAATGGCCATGTGAAGAATTTCATTTAGAGTATTCTTCTTGTTTTCTGTAGTTTAAAATATCAGGTGGAGAATAAACTGAATCCTTGGTAAAAGAAAATTCTAAGTATTGACCAAATATAGTTCAGAATGATAGCTGGACTTACTGTAAGGCACTTGACTAGTCATTGAAAGATGGATCTAGGAGGAAGGGATTAGCTGTATCTTTTCTAGCTTCGGTGTATGATTTCCCCCTGTTCAATGGAGGAAATCCCTTCCCATCAGACTTGATCAATAGCAACGAAGTTGCAAATGAGATGGGAATGGGACAATTTATGAGTTAGCATTAAGTGACTAACATGTACATTGGGGGTGGGTTGCTGCCGGCATAACTGCCAGTTCGACGTGAAAAAAATTAAATGATTAATTAATTAAATGATTAATTTATTTAATTACTGTGGGTGGCATGAAAACCTAGAAAAAAACATAAAATTAGATAGATAGCTCAAACTAAAATTCAAACTGATGTTTAAGGCCTTGTCTTTCTACAATCTATATAACATACCCCCTCATGTTAATCACTATTGTAAAAGCCTACAAAGCTGATTCAAATAAATCTGAAAAAAAATTAATATGGCAAAGAAGAAATAAAAATGGGACTATGTAACTCCATGTTCTGCTGCCTGCCTGATAAACCCCCCCAAAAAGTAATGCTGTATTTGAACAGGATCTAGTAAAGACTATAATATATTCCTAGGAAAGAAAAAACAATCAACATAAATGCCTAATCTTCATATCATAGACTGTTTTTTGTTCTCAGGTCATATTTTTTCTGACTTGATTCACTTGCTAACTTTTCATTTGCATCCTACATCTGGGCTCTTATCAGTGCTCAGAGAAATCTGCAAAGTAATGAGGGTGCTTTCTTTCTTTTTGTCATTTAGAAAGGCAGCTCAAGGGATTTTAGTGGTAATAATCAAAAGAACAAAAGCATCAGAAATGTACAACAGTAGGTTCCTAGTGGACCTTATCACCAACCCAGAGATTATTAACTGTCTAAACTTAAACACTTCCATTGACAGCAATTAAACACACATTTAGTACTCCAAGGACTGGGAAAATTGGGCGGGCAGCTCTGCCACTAAGCAAACTGGTTGCTAAGTGGAAAATCACCTGACCATGACTGGGCTGGGAAAAGGGGCTGCCTATAGAAATGGTTTGCTTTTCTTCATGGAACCCCTCGCAGAGCAGAGATTGGAGAGGAAGAGATTTCAAGAGTAAGCTATTTGCTCTTCTACACATCGTGAGCAATGCCAACAGCAGGAAAGGGTTAGGCAAAGCTCTTGCTTACTCCCCACCTTGTAGAGTGGAGAGACTAGAACCAAAAGAGATTTTAAGAGAGTACTTATAAACTGTTATGTATAGTGTGCCCAGGGCTGATAGCCCAATCACATTGCTTTCAATATGTAGAAGAGCAAATAGTTTATTTTCTTGCTATCCCTTTCCTTCTAAACTCTCTGCAAGGGGGAGGGGCACTGGGAAAAATAAGACAATGCATATTAAATATAATGGTAATCACATGAGTGAGGAATACTACAAAGGTTGTAATTGAGGGGTTTTTTCCAGCACAATCATAACTTAGATCAATCACTGAACAAATGGTTGATAAAACAAAGACTATCTGTATAGCAAAGCTATGGAAGACAGCAAGAACATGGTTGCAGAATTCTGTCAAATACTTTATTTTCCCTTCAAATTATTTACCTTGGCAAATTCTATTGTTATTCTTTAATTTCCATTGATCTATTGTTTTCAATGGGTGTGAAAGTAATGTTTCTTCAGCTATGATCTCTTGCGACACTCCAGATGCCAAGCTGTCATCAAGACAAAGGCCAATTTTCTTGAAGATAAGATCTTCCATATCTTTTGTGGACTGCACCATTGTCAGAAGTAATTTCAAAGCCATCTGACAAGATTCTTGTAGTTTATCCCTACAACAAAACATTATACATTGAATTGTTCCGTTTGCCATTTGCACTGATTACGTCTTCTTCCCACAATGATTTTTTCCTTATTAGAAAACAGGAAGCAAATTAAAACAAAAACAAAAGTTCACACGTTATGTATTTATTAGAAACCATACAGGAAAGGCTAAAATAGGTGTAATTCTTATACCATTTCTCCCAGAAATTATTTCTAGTCAAGCGCTGTTCTAAAATAAAGTTGAAAATTATAACTTTATTTGTAATTTTGTATTTTATTTATATATCTAAAATTACAACTTTGCATAAAAAAGCAAAGAAGATAAGTCATATTTCAGCTAAAATTATTCTTCCTACCAACACAAAAGTTTAGATATGCATAATATTCAGTTGACTCATTCTACATTGAATTGACACAGAAACACATGGAAATTTAAGTTTTACAAATGACACTAAGATCTAAAGGTGAATAAGGATATTTGTCACTTTCTTAGGAAACTGAATTGGTAGATCAAACAATTCAAGGTGGTATGCAGCAGCCTACTGAATAACACCAAGGAACAGAATGCAAGCAACAGTTAATAAATAAGAGCAAAAAAGCAAAGTTGCTCCAGGNTGCAAACGAAGTCAAGGGGCAGAAATGAATAAAATAATTCAAAGAAAAATATTCAATGATAATGATTTTAGAACACAAGTAAAATATTCAAAGTGATTAATTTATAGTGAATTATCTTTTAAAAAGATTTAAAAAGAATATGAAAATAGCATAAGCATTAAAATTGTGTTTTTACATATTTAAAAATTTGAGAAAAATGTTTTTAGAGCAGTTTTAAGATGGTAAAATTATATATTTATTTTCTTCAAAAAAATATTTTTTCCTGTGAATAAAAACATCTCTTTGAATTGGGTAGTTCAAAACTACAAAATTTTAACCACGCAGAAGGAAATGATTTTTCACATCACATTTAAATTAAAAATGGATTGCTAAGACCTGACCAATAACGAATAGAAACAGAATTCAAAGAAAATTCAATTCAGCCATTCAACATAGCTCAGGAACAAAGAGGGCTGCCTGCTTCTCTAATGTGAGCTCTGGAAAGATCTGCAGCGATCCACAGCTTGAGTAAGCAGAGAAGGCCATTCCGTTTCTGGGCCATGTGGCACAACCCTGGAAGTAGCTGCCATTTTGGAGTGCCTGCAATTCAGTGCAGCTGCCCCCCAAATGGCAACAACTTCTGAAACCATGTCATGTGGCCCAGGAACATAACAGTTTGTCCTTCTTCCCTAACCCAAGCTTTGGAGATCTTTGAAAGCTGTGTGTGATAGATGATGCAAGGTGAGGAGGGTCTGGGATCCAATGGGGTGGGAAGCAGGCCCAAGACTTGTAGGGACTCTAAGGGGTGGGAAGTAGAGCACAGAATGCCTCAGTGGGTAGGGGAAGCCTCTGGAGTCCTGGCATGTGTCCTTTACTAGTCCTCCAGTGCCTCCCTTGCACATGTTTAATGATTGCATTGGAAAGAGTAGGGAGGGGGATCGCAAGCACATGGATGCTTCACTTAATGGCTGTAATGACTTCTGACTGTAATGGGCAAGTTCCATCAAGGTTATCAGTCAAATACTATCTGTAATTCAACTGTTGACTATTCAACCTAACCATTTAAAACAGAAACAAGAACACTCTTTTCTAATTTCAGTAATAGGCAGCCTGCAAGTGGGAAGCTCCACTGTAAGGGCATGTTCTCAGCAAATCGTACCCTGAAATCTTTACTCTATAGAAATCAGGTAGTATGGAGGAGCTAAATAACTTTCAAATACTATTTATTGCTTGGTAACTGACCTTATAGTGCTCCAATTGCTGAGTTAACTGTTCAAACAAATCCAATCTCTCTCTTTCTGTCATTTCTTCCAATAGTGTAATAGAAGGGCTATATAAAATATATGGAATAATTCAGAAAAATAACTTTAGCTAGTATTCTTTTAAGAACAGAATAATTTAAACTTTCTGAATTACAATCTGAATCTTAAAATCCTCACATATGTATCAATATTGTAACCTATGATGAATCAAATAAGAAAATACTAGCATGAAGTAAAGCTATATGGATTTCCTAATTCATGTTCACTTATCATAGTTAGAAGACACAAGTTAGTAACATACAGCTAATTTCACACTTTGCTCAGTAAAATTCTAAAATTCCAATATATGTAGAATAGAGGAATAATTGCTCAAGTGTCACTTGAAAGCTATTCTCGTATAAACTGGAGTCATAGTACCTTTTCCTATTCTTAGTGAACATGGCTAACTAAAAAGTTTTCTTTAACAAGAAATTAAGATAATTACTATATTCATCCTAAACTAGGATTTAAGGCTTACTGAGGTGGAACCAATAGCAGAATAGCAATATTAAATTATTAGCTTCACCCAAATTCCATATCTTGTTCTTGTGATTTTTCCATCTCCTCTATGGAATAATCTTTTACTTCTTGCAATCTCTGATGCAACATTGTTAATTCTTCTCTGTAATTTTCTTCCACAGACTTTAATTTCTGTTCAAAATAAAGTCTTAGTTGTTCCAACTCAATTTCATGTTCAGTCTTTTTTTTATCCCATTTAAGTTGATAATCTTTTTTTAGATATTCCAGTTCTTCCACATGTGAGGTACGAGCAAGCAGCTGTATTTTCAGTTCTGATGGGTAAAAAATATTGTTCACTTTAAATATATTAATTCAGCTGATTTTTTTTAATGCAATCCCTATACTATTAAGGTTTCAATACTGAATGCAAACACTACTGAAAACAATGGGACTTAATTCTGAATATGGAGATCTCATTACAAAAACATTCAATAGGATACTGTACATTCACACACACATACACACACACAGTGTGTGTGTATGTGTGTGTGTATGTATGTATGTATGTGTATACATACATACACACGCACACACACACACACACACACATATATATATATATAATGATTTCAGCTTAAGTTTGTAATATAATTTGATTTTCTCAGCTGGCCCTCTGAAAAGAAATAATGAGAAATAAATGAATAAACTGTTTTTCATCAGTTTTTTCTTTCAAAAGCCTCCTCATTCTATCTTGCAAATTTGAATTTTACAGGATGCCAACGATTGCTTAATCAACTCAAATCTATACTCTACATAGGGAACGGATATGACAGTAGTTTTATTTTATTCATTAGACATATATTGCTGTCAGATTACATTGATTCTATCAAGTTAAATAAATCAAAACAATGTCATGATTAATACAGCTTGTATTATATCTGTCCAATTAACTTTCTTGGGAGAATTCCCTATCTATGGAAGTATTACTGAATAGTTTTGCTTTGTGCAATTACAGCATCAAGTGCTCTTTAAAAGGTGAAAGATAACTAAGCAAGATTACCAAAGATTGATTTTGAGTAAATGGGAAAAAATGTGTATGAGAATGTCAGTTGGTCTTAGCTGAACTGCATGTCTCCAGGGTGGTGTGGGAGCAGTCACTGATGGGTATTGTCACGGCCCATTTGCCCGGAGACTGAGGTAAATCTGAGGACACTCCCTCTGCTCCTCCTTCTGACTCTCCAGATTAACCAGTGGTCCAGTCGAAGAAGAACCTGGGAAGGAAGGGACAGAGACCACCCAACCCACTCCCAGGTCCCTGACTGACCTGTAGCTAACCCACTCAGGCCCTGGCGCAGGCGCGCCTGATGGGCGGGAAGTGACTGCTCCCACGCCACCCTCGAGACATGCAGTTCAGGTAAGACCAACTGACAGTCTCCGAGGTGGGGCATGGGAGGAGTCACTGATGGGACATACCAAAGGTAGATGTCCATGGGAGGGATCATTGGGCCTGAGTCTCCTGAGTGTCCAGAACACCCTGAAGGACCCTCCTCCCGAAGGATGCCTCAGCCGAGGCATCCGCATCTAGCTGGTAGTGCCTGATGAAGGGTAAAGGTGAGGACCAGGCGGCAGCCCTGCAGATGTCCTTGATGGGTGTCCCCAAAGTGGCAGCACTCCGAGTGGAATGAGCAGTGATGCCCTGCGGAACTGGCAGCCCTCGAGCCTCGTAGACCTTGGAGATGAGTAATCTTATCCATCTGCTGATGGTGGTCGGGGAGACCTTGGCTCCCCGGGCCGAGGGATGGAAGGAAACAAAGAGGGCCTCCGTCCGCCTGAAGGCGGCTGTGCACTTGAGATAAATGCACAGTGCCCTTCTTACGTCCAGGTGGTGCCAGGACCTCTCTCTGTTGAGGGGGAAGGACAGAAATCCAGGACGATTACCTCCTGGCCCCTATGGAAGGGGGAATTGACCTTAGGCATGAAGGCTGGTTCGAGTCTGAGCACGATCCTGTTGCTGTGGAAGGAGCAAAGGTCCGCCCTGGTAGATAGAGCATTAAGTTCGGATCACCTGGCAGAGGTGATCGCCACGATGAAGACCACCTTGAGGTTAAGGAATTGTAGGCTCACCTCTCTGACAGGTTCGAAAGGTGTCTCCAGGAATGCCTGGAGGGAGGTCACAAGAGGGAAAACGGTGGATCACCAGAGGCCGAAGGTTAGCTGCCCCTTGGAGGAACCTCTTAATGACCGAGAGCTGGGACAGGGACTGGGACACCCCCCTCCAAGGATAGTGGCTAGGGTAGAGACCTGCCTTCTGAGGGTGCTGTGTGCCAGACCCTTCTCCAGACCATCCTGGAGGAATTCCAGTACCTGAGGGACTGAAGCTACCTGAGCAATCGGACACCATGCCTCGAAGGAAGTCTAGGTCGCATAATAGATGCGGGTGGTGGATCTCCTCCTAGAGCCTCAATGGTTCTGATCTCTAGAGGAAATCTGAGCGTCCCTTAGTTGCTCCCGCTCAAGCGACAGAAGGTTCCACTCCGCCCAGTTCCCCAGACGTCTTCCCTTGTCGCGCAGTGCCACCCTGCTTGTTCAAGTGGGCCTTGGCTGCTACATTGTCCATCAGCACCAGAATGTGACTTTCGGCGACCATATTCTTGAACCGCCGAAGAGCTAGGTGAATTGCTCTGAGCTCCAGCCAGTTGGTGTTCCTCCGCAGGTCCACCAGCGTCCACCGGCCCTGGGCCAACTGGGACTGCAGATGAGCCCCACCAACCGAACAGGCTTGCATTTGTCGTTAGGACCAGCCTGTCTGGCTCCCTGAACAGGGAACCCATGGCCAGATGCTGGAATCTAGTGGAAGGGACTAGATGGCTCTTCTCGAGGTTGAAAGAGAACCTTAGGGACCGTAAGGTGCTAATGGTGGGACTGAGATCCCCCTCTGCTCGAGCAGCCAAGGAGACTAGGACGAGGATATCATCCAGGCAACAATGTAAACGAACCGGGATGGAATGAAGGTGGGCCGCGGTCACGGCCAGCACCTTGGTGAAGGTCCTGGGGGCAGAGGCCAACCCGAAGGGGAGGGCCCTGTAT